ATACTACTAAAATATAATCCTTATTTTCAAATATTTATATATAAAATTTTATTTAATAATTTTAAATTTTTAAAAAAAGTAAATCATTACTATATTTGAACTATTAAGCAGACAAATTTGCCTGCTACAGTCTACAGATTAAGAGATAATATTCTAATTAAAGATCTGTATTGGGTCTTACAGTTTGGTTTAGCTTAGTTTGCAAATTTTTGCAAATCAGATCAGATCTGAAGCAAAATTTTATAATTGCAAATCATGTCAAATTTAAAATTTTACAAAATTATATAAAAAATTTTGCAGGCTAGACTGGGCTAGTTCAGACTAAAAAAAAAATTTAATATATGCAAATCAAATTGAATTAACAAAAAAATTTTAATTCTAAATGCAAGCTAAATTAAATTTCAAAATTAAGCAATTTGCAGATTTCTAATTTTAATTATTATTACTAATTATAATAAGACTATAACTATCTTGTTATATTATATTTCCTAATTCTATTTAATTTTTTAATTACTTTACTTTATGCAATAATTTTTTTTTTTTAAAAAATTAGTTGATTTAACTGTTTTTTGCTTTTTTTAATACCAATTTGGTATATACAGTTCTCTATATATTAATATCAATTAATATAACTAAATTTATTAAAATTTTAAATTATTATTTACAGTTATTATGTATTTTTTTTTGTATACTTCTATTAGTAGTTTGATCCACCTTAATGTTACAAAAAGACCTAGAATTTTAACTTATTGCATATGAGTATAATAACTATTAATAATGTTGTGATATATAATTATTAATTCTGTTTTTCTTAAAGTTTATAATGTTTACTAAAAATGTTTTAATTTTGGTTAGACAAATCTTTTATCTCAGATCTTTTTTGCATTTTTTATTTTACTTACTACTCCAATTTTAGTTACATTAATATTATTCTTTTAGTTAAGTATATTGTAAGTTAGATGCAAGTATGTTAATATTGTCTTATCTTTTAAAAAACTTAACTACACAATATTACATATAACAGAACCTTTTGTAATACTGCTATTATATATAGTATCTTCTTTTTATAAAGTTGATTTTTTTTAAAAAATTCTTAATTTGTTCTTGTATTTTACTTTAAGACTTATCACAGAGTTTTATATCTAATTTGGTTTCTATATTTATATTATAAGTTAAAATTCTTAGATTTTGTCTTCAGTCTAACTCAAACTATTGACCTTATTTGTAAAAAGTTGGCAGCTTAATAATTAAGCTATAGAGCCCAATTTCTATTCAATTTTGTTTATAATATTAATAGAAAACATAGTACAAGAATATTTAGTAAAATTTTAAACTTATATAGTATTACAGTCAAAAGATTAAGAAAAATTAGAGATAAACATGCTTCTAGAATTCATAATAATCAAAATCCAACTTTACAACATCTCAAATTTCTTAGCAAAGCTGCAATATTATATAAAATAAACTGTTTTAATTCTGAAAAATATTATACTGAAAGTAATACTTTAAATTTTAATTTTAAGTCAGATTCAAAAACTAAACCCAAAACTTTAACTTTTATATCTAAAATTAAAAATATCTATAACTTATATAAAAATATCTAGATTAATTTATAGCTTATCTATTTATTATAAAAAGACAGTTTGCTATTTTTATTCAATTAATAAATTGCTAATTTGTAAATTATGAATGATTGTTAGTAAATTGATTGAACTTTAGCTTATACTAATTAATTTATGAATAAACTGATTACCAAATCTGAAATTAGTTTTTTAAAAATTGTGGAGTTTTTTTTTAAATATTAAAGTGAGTACTTGTAACTCAGAATTTTATTGATAGTATATTTAGCTAATAGTTGCATTACAACTACAGAAGGCAATTATAAAAAGTGTATACAACTAATCACTTATACAACTTTAGTTATTGTCTAATTTAAGTAGTTCATCTAAAAGTTCTATACTAGCTGCTATATCTGAAACTTGCTTGTAGGTTTTCTATTTAAGCACTCTGATTTTTGTATTTATTTATCTACTTTTGTTTACTAATGATCCTAGCTGATGTTAGTAAAAATATATATAGCTATTAAGTCTTTAAAGCAATTTATTTTTTAACCTTGTATTAAACCTTTTAGAATCTTTTGTATTCTATTTATATAGCTAACCTGATATTGCTATAGCTAAAACTAATACTAGTGGTCAAGGCATATCATTAAACTGCTATATCTTTGTAAAGTTTACTCCAATCCCAATACTAACTTTACAATATATTTTTACTACTTTGGTATTCAAATCAAGTTTCATCAAGCTACCAAACCAGATAGCTCAGAAAGATAAGTACTTTTGGTTTATATAATTTTTTAACATATATACTTTTTCTTTAAAATATAAAAATTCTGATGGTCTGATTGGTTTATCTGGTCTTTTTCCAAAAACTAGCATATTTGTTCAATTTTACAAATTATATAAGCTATTTCATAAGCTAGTTTTTACAGTAGCATCATTAAAAGTTCAAATTACCTTTTTACTTGAATTTTTCAAGTAGGCTTCTGTCTTTTTATCTGGTTATTGTAATTTATATAATCTAAGAACTTATTATAAATTCACACTGCCCAGTACCAGTTTGTGTTTCTTTGTATAATATTGTATAAATGCCTAGACCTTCTAGTTATGCTAGTATAACACAGATTACAGATATTTAATTCCAACTAATTACAAATAACAATTAATCATAATACAAAAAAAATTGCAAATTTTTGTTATCACTAGAATTTGAACTCTAGATCTGCTGCTTGAGGTTGAAAACCTGTTTACTTTACTAAGTTACTATTTTTAAAAAATTTTTTTTTTAAATATTAATGATGAGACCATGCCTCTATTTTTATTAAAACTTAGTTAAACTTTTTACAAATAGATTATACAGAAAAATTTATAATTGAATTCTATATCTATAAGATATTAAAATTAGAAACTTAGACAAGTTATCTGTGACCTAAACCTAACTATTTTTAAAAATTAGTTTTGTTAATGATGAAAGTATTTAATATATAAAAATAAGCTAAATATATAAAACATTGTAAAATAACTTATCTGATTATAATTTATAATTTTGCTAGGCTCATTAATAATACTGTATATACAAAATTTATTACAAATTTTTATTTCAAATATGTCTACTAATTCAATCTTTAAAATATTGTTATAGGTGAAAGCCTTCTAAATTTTCATATTATAACAATGACACAGTATATAAAATCTCTTATAAGTATATATGATGTTTAAGAAAGAAGTATAGCTTCTGTTAGATGTTGTTAAGAAACTATACTCTTCTCTGGGACAGTTTAGAAAAGGTAATGCAATACTAATAACTTTACTTTATTTCACTAAGAAAAGATAAATTTTGCCTATAAGAATTATTCTAAAAAAAAAATATCAATACAATTTATAGTTAAAAGCTATTGTTACAAAGTAGATTTTAGCATAGTATATTATAAAGTAGTATTAGTAGTATATATATATTTATTATTGTATTTTAT